CTTCCGACGTCGCCGCGCCACCGCCGTTGGGCGCTGATGTGGCAGGCCCATCTGATATCGGGAGCGGCAGGTCGGCTTCCGTCACCAGCCTGCCCCCCAGGTGGCGCCAGGCGGGGTGGTCCTCCTGGATGGGCCGCAGCGCGCGCCACACGTTGACGCACACCTTGACGCCGCTGCCGACGCTGACCTGGCGGTGGCGGTTGCGCGGCATGAGGGGAGCATCGACGGTGCGTCGGATGTGCATCGCATGCGCAAGGCAATGGTGCAAGGGCGGCAGGTTCGGGCGCGAGACAGCTGGCCGGGGGTTTGTGCGCGCCGGGGCGGCAACGCACAGGCGCGTAAGAGGCAGCGGCCCTAGGCCTCAGGCCGGTTGCAAGGGCTCAAGGCGGTCCCCATGAGGGTAGCGCGCGCTCATAGGAGCGCCGTGAGGCCTCAGACAACACACACCCAAGCGCGGGCGCGCGCGCACACACACGCACGCCCGCCCGGCTTCGCGCCCATCCGCCCATCCACCCGCACGCACGAACGCACGCGTGCGTGCGCGTACACACACACACACACACACACACACACACACACACACACACAATCACACAATCACACAATCACACAATCACACAAAAACGGTCACGCAGACACAAACATACACACAAACCAAGCATGCAATCCTCAGTTACTCCCTCTCCTTTTACACTCACGCCAGCGCGCGCACCTGCATGACCTTGTCGCCGCGCTGTATGCCGCACAGCGACTCGAGGTACGCCATGACGTAATAGGTGGAGGGCGATGACGTGTTGCCGTAGTCACGGAGGGCGGCGAAGGATGGCAAGACCTTGGACGCGGGCAGCCGCATGCCTGGGATAGTAGAGAGGGTTCAAGGGTCAAGGGTCTTCGATTTGGGGCGGCTTGCGAGTTCCTGGGGGCGGTTTGCGAGTTCCTGAGGGCACTGTACTAAGAAGTGGTTTTGGCAACACTACTGGGGGGATGCATTGAGCGCGCGCGTGCAGCGGGAGGGGCGGCCAGCCGTCGGCCTGCTGCTTGCTCAGCCGCTGGCACGCAGGAGGCGTGTGGGATTGGATGCGCCGCTGCTGGAGCCGCCGCCACAGCACACACTTGGCGTGATGGTTTTTGGCGTATAGGGGGGTGCAATACCCGGCAAAGGATTCCTAGAACACAGATTTCTTGGCTGCCGGGCAGCAGCCTTGCACGCGTGGGAAAACTGCAGCAGCCGGAGCAGCACCCGAAGCCTCTGCCCCACAAGCGGTACAGGCGCCCAGTCAGCAGTCGCCAGCTCACCCTTCATGAAGCCCTTGAGCATCGCGTGGATGCCTGGGGGGGCGGCGTGTGGGG